CTCGATGCCTACTCGGGGCCCTGTATTGATTCGGGCTCCGTATCGGTTAGTCTCTCGCTCTGAAGCTTGATACCATCGCTTCTCATCATAGCTCGATATGGACTCGAGCTCGATAATGACGTTGAGTTCGGTATTTAATCTGACCCTAAAAATCGAAGCTCGTTCGTGCCTTCTTCAAATCTCACCTCGATATTATGAAGACGCTCTTCGATCCGTCTTCACCGATGGTACGAAGATCGAAAATGATTTTGACTATATACAATTTTAAATGAGGACATATGGGATATTTAGGGAATAATTTAAGTCCAAAAAAATAATAATAATAGAACTAACAAATAAAACAAAAAAAAAAAAAAAAAGGGATAAGGAATTGAAAGAAAAGGGCCGAAGTCCATTAGAACATATCTGCCAATTGAAAAAGGTCAGGGGAAGGGAACGAAGCAAAAGCTTTAGAGAAACGAAAAACCAAAAAAACGAGTAAAGGAAAGAAAGAAAAGAGAAAATAAGGAGGAAGAAGTTGATGAAGTGCGTTGGAACCATAGCTATAACTGTTGAGGAGTCTTAAGCACTAATTGTGTCTTACGAGTATTACTTGAGCTTCTTCTTCCGGTAAATTTAATTTCAATTCTCATGATTGGAAGATTCTACAGAGTAATAGAAATTACACTAGTTCATTTACACAATTGAGAATTTTCTTCCTAAAGAATCAATAGAACTTTATGAAACTGGATTAATAAATTATATGAATATGTTGGAGTTGATAAATTAGTAATTATTCATATGTGGTTAAATATAATTCGGCGAATTAAGAGTCAAATATGAAACCTCGAGGGTTGGGAATTCTAAATTAGCTATGAATTAGCCTAAACAAGAAAATTAACATGAGATTGATATTATATAATTATAGATTGATTGGAGGAATTTGTATGAATTGCTCGAGGTGAAGCATTTGGTATTTCGGCACGAGTATTGTGAGTAGTAATCTTACCGCAATTTGTGTTTTCATAACTTGCATGATTTACCCATAATTTTTAATATGAATATGTTACCGATTATTTTGAGTTGCATGTGGGACAAGTCTTTTATTCGATATGATACCGAAATAGTTATTTGAGATGATTACCGTTATTTTAAATATTCTTGTTGTCACTAGATATGTTTTACCGTTACTTGAATTTACGGTTATCGAAATGAAATTACATGATTTGATAAAAATCGAAATGCCCTATATTGTTTTAAAATACTTTCTTATGAGTATATACGGATTATAGAGACAAGTATAAATGGGAGTAGACTTTGAAAGATCCCGTAAATAACGGCGGATTCGTTAGACCTGGTGCACCTTGTAATTACCGATTACCGTTACATCCCTCGCTAGTGGGAAGGTAAAACTAGCATACCGTTACTGATTTTCCTCGAGTAGGGACTACCGTTATATTTGACTTCTTCGCAAGAAGTCCACAGTTATACTGATTACATGATCCGTTCATTGAAACCTCCCAAACATGAATATTAATATTACACAATATTTACCGAGCTTATTACCGAGTTGTCAATTGATTTATATTACATGAAAAACTTTGATGAGACTGATTATTGTTTATTGTTCTGAAAGGACATTCTTATGATATTTTCTGTTTAATATATATACTAGCATGTTTTCTGACTTGTCCCCAATAAAAACAGTTATGGTTAAGTGTTATTACTTACTGAACTAGCGACTCATTCCCCGCTAATTATTTTTTACAGAGACAACAGTTGACGCGGGTGAGAATTTCGTTAATTAGAGCGCACAAGTTGATAGTTCTTGGTGAGCCTTGCACTTGTTCGCCTGGACGAAAATTTTATTTATTGTTATGGTCTTTTCTTTGAACTATTAGAGTCGCTCCATAGTCATTCTTTTAGTGTCTTGAGTATTCTTTTGTTATTATAGACTTATGTTAAGTATCGCTTATTCTTATCAAAGTTTGAGATAAAGTAGTATTTCTAGTTGTTAGTGGGTGGGATATTAATGGTAGATATTTATTTTGGTTAATTGATAAAGTCATTGTCGTTTGAATTGACATTAGGATATTTGGTTATTGATTTGAGACAGGAAAGTTTTTGGGATAGTCACTTGGGGGCACTTGCTCCTAAGTGCCGGTCATGATCCTAAATTGGATCGTGACAACGACGCTACTACAATTACAACAATAATAACATAATGACTGTGATTTCATAAATAGGGCATGAGGAGGATGGGAGCATACACAAATCTTATTCTTACTTTGTATAATTGACGCTAAATACAGCAATTTTTTTTTTTAAATATAAAAATGTCCTTGGTCAAGAATAGCTTTGATTGTTGCTTTTCCTCGCTAAAGTTAAAACTGAATTAACTCCTTTGAGAAAATGGAACGTGAGGAATGTACAACTAGGGGTGTTTATCGGTCGGTACGGTATGGTATGGTATTTAAATATTTCGGTTCGGTATTTTCAGTATTCGATTTTGTAAAATGCTATATCAATACCGTACCTAATTAAATTCGGTATGGTTCGGTTTTTTTTCTTTTGGTTTCGGTTTATTCGGTTCGGTAACTTCGGTTTATTCGGTTTGAATACTAACTACTGCATAAAGTCATAGACAATAATATTCTTAATTAAATTACTCAAAAGTACAAAATTTAAAACGTTTGTTTGATAAAAGTTTTGTCCAAAACCAACATATACTAACCTAGAGAGAGAAAACTTAGAGAAATGTCTTGTTACTTGCTTAGAATTAATTGATGAACTTAGATAATAAAGGAAAATAAAATTTTAGATTTTTTATACTTGTGTTGTAATTAATAAAATGTGTATTGTGTAATATTATATATTTCGGTACGGTATCGGTATTTCATTTTAAAATACCAAATATCATACCTAATACCATTTTTTAAAAAAAACTTAAATCAAATACCATACCGAATACCGAATACCAAAATTTTCGATTTCGGTACGGTAATTCAGTATTCACCAAATTATGCACAGCCCTATGCACAACAACTGCATTTGTATTTATTTATTCCAATATGCATTATTACTTATTAGTTGTACAAGTATGTGGTAACCATGAAATTTAATTAAGAGCCTCTAGTTTTTGAATGAAATATAATGGAACGTGGATACCAATAACTACAACTAAAAAGGATTGCGTTTGGATTTTCCATCGTTTTCCGACGTACTCGTCTAGTCAGCTTATCTTTGTTCTTATTTTATCAAAATTAGTTTAATCCAGACACATAATTGCTGCACCTTATTTTGAAAATGGTTGTTTCAAACTGCTACTCTAGTGTTGAACAAAATCCTACTTATTATAATAATTTATATATTTATTCATTTTTTAAATATTGACACCACTTAAAAATAAGTCATGCGTACGCCATTGAAGTTGGTATACATAAATATATAGTAAATAGTTAGAAGACAGACCTAGGATGTTCGGGCATGACTTTTCTGCTAATTAAATTTCTTGAATTAATCATCAAATTAATGTAGCATCATATTTGGACAGGGCAAGTTGGATATTCATAGGAGATAATTCGATTTGGTCTATAAAAGCGACAAATGAACTTGTACAAGATGTTTTTTCACCTCTAGGAATCTAAAAGAAAATCATCATGGCGATAATCTAATTCTCAATAAAATATACTACTAATACATTTTGATTTGCAATTCTTACAAGCTCAAGAAATTAACAGACCATTGGGCCAATTAGACCCATCTACCATTGGGCCAATTAAGCCCAACCTACTTGTAGAAATGACATCAGGTAACCACTCTAAAGGAAAACTATTTAGAAATTTACCGGTGTGTCCTGAATTGGGCTGAAGTTAAGATTTTTAGTTTAAAATTTTAGGACAAATAAGTACTTGTAATCTCTAAATAGCATCCATGAGAATGGCTATTCGTGTACTTGCCCTATAAAACTTTACTCCATTGCAAATAAAAATGAATGAAATTCAAAAATAGTCACAATTTCGAAAGTAATTGAAATTTAGTCATTTTCATGTAAAGATAAAATCTGAACAAAAATATTGTTAAAAATCCGGAAATATTCCAGCATAATATGCTGGAGTTCGAATTTTGTACATATGAGCTTCCAGCAAAATATGCTTGAATTTTATAATGTGCTGGAAGTTTTTATGCGGGAGCTCCATAATCCCGCGTATTATGCTGGAACTTTTCCGTGTGTTCGAGTTTAAACATAATATGCTGGAAGTTTATACGCATAAGATTCATAATCCCGCATATTATGTTAGATCTTTCCGTATTTCAGCAAAATAATGGCTATTTTTTCAATGATTTCGCAAGCGCCGACTATTTTTCAATTATCAGTCCGAAAAATGACAAGCACGTACTATTTTTGACAATAAAACTAGCTTGGAAATAATCTTCTACATCAACAACTTGTTTGTGTAGTTGCTATGTATTGTTTCATAATGTATCGCATAATATTGTATTATATCGTTTTGTTGTATACAATGTTTGGATATATTGTATTGTTTGTCGTGGTCTGATGATGTCATGCACCAACAATATAAAGAAATAAATTATAATATTATAAAGAAAAAGTAAGGTAGGAAATAGAATTGCTATATAAATAGGTAGAGTATAGGATAAATAGAATTATTTAATAATAAGAAATGACAAGATGAAAGGGGAAAAAAAGTAACGACGCGACCACAACAAATTAGTCGTTCCATAAAGTGCATTTTTCATCGTTACGTAACGACGAATTTAACGATAATAATCAAAACAAACATTGTATTTAAAGTAACAATACGATAGAATACAATATGTAACGACTCTCCAAGAAACTACAAGAATCTCGTAAAGGGAAAGCAGAAACATAAAATACACACGCCTAATATATTTCAAACTATATTAATTTACTATAATTAAATACTCATTATATTAAAATAACAAAATAAGTAAGTTCGTTAATATAATTTAATGATGATTATATTTATAAAAAATATATGTATAATGTATTTATATGCTCCGTCCCTCATAGCCTCACTCCTCCCAAATCAGCTGAGAGTAACAGTGACAGTGCTGCCTTCAAAATCTTCATCCATTCCATGGGCGAAGAATCAGAATCAGAATCTCAATCTCAACCCAACCCTAACACCACCACCTACCTAACCAATGTACCCCGCCAATCTCATTCACCACCCTCCAAACTCCCTTCCCGACCCAGAAAATTTCGTAAACTTTCCAACACTACAGATTCCCACAATAATTCCAACCCAAGGCTCATTCCTCGTTCACTTTCATCCGAAGGTGAACTAGAATCAGCCATTAATTACCTCAAATCCTCCGACCCATTACTTATCCCATTAATACAAACTTACCCACTTCCCATTCTTGAACTTTCTCAACCCCCTTTTCTTGCCTTGACAAAAAGCATTCTTTTTCAGCAATTAGCTTTCAAAGCTGGTTCCTCAATTTACTCTCGATTCATCTCTCTTTGTGGTGGTGAGTGTAATATAAGTCCAGATATTGTTTTAGGATTAACCCCACAACAGCTTCGTCAAATTGGGATATCTGCTAGAAAAGCAAGTTATTTACATGACCTAGCAAGGAAGTATCAAAATGGGATTTTGTCTGATAAGTCAATTGTGGAAATGGATGATAAGTCCCTTTTTGCTATGCTTACTATGGTCAATGGAGTGGGGCCTTGGTCAGTTCATATGTTTATGATATTTTCGTTGCATAGGCCGGATGTTTTGCCAATACATGATCTTGGTATTAGGAAAGGAGTGAAAATGTTATATGGGCTTGAGGATCTTCCTAGGCCTTCGCAAATGGATCAGTTGTGTGAGAAATGGAAGCCTTATAGATCGGTTGCTTCTTGGTACATTTGGAGGTTTGTAGAGGCAAAGGGGGCGAATTCGAAAGCAACTGTTGTGGGGAATTCTGATGTTAGTTTGCAGCTGCTTCTGCAACAGCAACATCAGCATTTCTTGGATCCTCTTAATGAGATTCATAATGTTGGGTATGTTTCCTTTTGCTTCTAGTTTGCCATTAACTGTGCAGTAATTGCTCTTCTAAGTTTTTCCATGAATGTTTCATTGCGGTCAAATTACTTTAAATGATGGTTATCGGTTGGGGAAAGTTGATTGATTACTTTTCTTAGTTGAGATGAATGTACCATTAACCTATATGACAATGTCGAGAGTATTGATGCCCCGTTGGCACATTGTAACTTCGGGGAACCAGAATTTTGCTCAGGAACTTCATGATCAGTGAGTAAAATTTCTAGAATGGATGGAAGCAAGGTTTTTAGGCAGTCTATTTATATACATATAACTTATTGAGATATCCATCGTATCAAACACAAATTGAGATTTGAGGTAGCCTTATAAGGGGGACAATTGATATGAGAGTTGGAGTACAATCTTAAATTTAATGATAGCATTGTGACCCTATAGTAGAAGCTCGGAACAGACTCGTGTCAAATTAAAGCACATAATGAGCAAGAGCATTAATGCATAATATCTTCTCTAAGGCCACAGTACCTCAATATTGAAGCTATTAAGTTTTCAAGCAGCATATACAAGTTTGTATGTGTTTCTTTGAGCTTCTAGTTCAGAAACTTTTACATTACCTGGCTTGTAGATTCACCTGTCTTCTATGGATTGGAAGTCAAATATGCTTAATAGAATCATTGGCTTAATTGCCATCATACAATGATTTTGAATCTTCTCTAGTGTTTAGCTGGTTTCTGCTCAGATGTTTAAGAATCTTCTTCCATGTTTTCCCTTTTCCTTTCAGGTAAAAGTTGTCCCCCACAATATTGTAGTTACACAGTAGTTAGATTAATCTCAAGGTAGTTCTGCTTTGTTAGTCAAAAGCTTAAAAAAGAAAAGAATTAGTAGGAAAAAAGTGATAACATCAATTTTGTTCCATCAAATCTGAGCGGATCTACGCGCTGTTTCCTTGGTTACTCGATTAACAATTCAAAGCTAAAATCACATGTAGTATCTTAGTTATCATTCATATGTCCAAGGCTTTCATATGAAAGGAGGAATAAGAAATTTAAGTTGCTCCGACACGGCAGTTTAGGTGCCGCACCCGTGTCGACACGACACTAGTATGGGTGTGGGTATGGGATTCGTACCGGATCTATTCAAATAATTTTGGGTACTTTGACCACGATGGATGGAAAAATTCGATACGAGATACAATTTGATTCCCGAAATCAGAACCAAAACCAGGGTAAATTTGAAGAAAATAGCATACCTTATCTAGGAAATCAATCATTTACTTATCTACAACTTAAGAATAATAAAGAAATCCTCACTTTACAAGCTATATGTAAGTACTCCACAAAATTTCTCATAATTTAGAGATTTTTTTATTTTTTTATTTTACTTTTAGCCGGATCCCCGCACCCGTATATGTACTAGGATCCGTATCCCCGAATCTTAGAATTTACATCTCGCAAGATTCGACCTCTAGATCCGCACCCGTGTCGGACATCCGCACCAGTGTCCGAGCAACTTAACTTACGGCATTTTAATAAACCAAAAGAAAAGGGGATATTTTGTTCCTATTATGTAAGGAGAGGAGAACAAAAGGAAATTGAACTAAAAAGAATTCGGTTAGGAATTTCCTTACATATCACTGTTAAGATCCATTGGCTTTGGCATTTAGGTTGATGTTTGGTGTTGCATTTTTCTTGGTAAACAAATCCAAGAGTAGCCTTATTGACTTACATTTGTCATTCATTTCTATCTACAATCTATGTGAATAAGAACCCACGCGATTCACATGTGATTTCCATTAGTAAAGAATGAGACTGTGACCTTAATCTATTTGGGATCTTCCTCCAAACTAGTGCAGGGACCGAGTTTATTCTTTAATAATAATCATTTCCACTTTTCATCACCCTCATGAAACCACAATAATGAGCTGTATAGACTTAACAACCAAGATCTTTTGCCAATTTTCCGTTTTTCTTTTTCTTCCTTCCCGAAAACCTTCTCAGGTTTAAGGCGCAAGTTCATAAAATTATATTACTTCGTCAGTGGAAAAAAGGTGCTAATTGCTCTGATCCCTTTTAGTAGACAACTTTGCCATGAATTCTAGTGACTCAAATATTGCATCCCATTACTTATGAAATCATTTTANGACCCAAACTAACTCACACGTCGCCATAGCCATGGCCCGATATTCGGCTTCGACGCTAGATCGAACAACTACATTCTCTTGCTCTTCCACGAGACCAAATTACCTCCTACTAGAACACAATATCCAGACGTAGAACGTCTATCAAAAGGTGATCCTGCCCAATCAGCATTTGTGTACCCAACAATCTGCTCGTGGCCTCGATCCTCAAATAGTATCCTTTGCCTGGAGCTGACTTTATATACCGAAGAATGCGAACAACTGCATCCCAGTGACTAT